CCAGAGTTGTGGGTGCTCTATCTCTGGAGTTTTTCAAGAAAAGATTGGACAACCATTTGTCCGAGATGGTATGAGGACTCCTGCCTTGGGCAGGGGTTTGGACTAGAAGACCTCTAAGGTCCCTTCCAACCCTATGAAATTCTATGATTCTATGAAAAACAGAAAAAGATATATAAAGAAATTACTCCCCCCTCTCTCCAGACAAATATAAACAACTTCAGTAACTTAATAACTTCTGTAATATTTAAATTTTTAAAAAATCTCTTCTTCCCATATCTCATCTCTTATCAATAAACAAATTGTAAAAACTCATCATTCAGTCCTAATCAGCAAAAGTCCATTAAGAGCTACCAGAAATAATAACATATATATTTTCACCTTAATTAAATAAATCCATTTTGTATTCCAACTTATCACTTTCTCTGAGAAATAAAGGAAAAGAAACCTCTCCCCATCTTATCTGTTGTCTATAAACAAGTCTTTAAAGCCTCGTCATTCAGTCCTAGTTAAAAAAATATAATCCATTCATTGCTACCAGAAACCATGTTTATGTTTTAACCTGGTTGAATAAATCCACTTTATATTCCTTCTGTTTACTTTTAAAAAGCTTGATCTTTAATCCCTTCAAATAATGTCCCACAAGTTGATTTCTTATCCTTTTCTCTTTGTCTCCACTCAGGAACTTCACTAGCTTAACACATCTCTTTTGTAAATCCAAGATAAGAAAGCTTTCCAAGTCATTCTTCTGATGTATTATTTGTATCCAGCAGGAATCCCAGCTGCTGATGCAGCCATCAGTGAAAGCAAGGGTCTGTGCTGCCCGAAGACACATTGGAGAGCAATGTGGAATGTCCAAAGAATGAGCCAGGGTAAATTGGATATCATCAAATGCGAGATGGCAGCTTGAAAATCGACCTTCTTGGCATCAGTGAACTACACTGGATAGACAACGGCTATTTCTACTCTGAGGAATTCACTATCTATTACTCGGAACATGACACCAGGGATATGAATGGAGTGGCATTTATCACAAGCAAAAAACTTGCCCAAGCAGCAGAAAGCTTCTCAATGGTAAACAATCTCATTATGACCATCCGAAACTGTGCCAAGCCCCTCAAAATCACAGTTGTCCAAGTCTATACCACAACAACTGATGCAACGGAGCTTGAAATAGAGGGTTTCTATGCCAGCATTGAAAAAACTTTGAAGCAAATGCCCAAAAAAGACATTGTTTACATACTGGGTGATTTTAATGCAAAACTTGGCAGCCAAGCAGAAACAGGCATTACTGACAGCTTTGGACTTGGGAAGAGGAATGATGCAGGCGATTGTTTGGTACAATTTTGCCATGAAAATCTATTTTGAATCATGAATACCTTGTTCAAACAGGACAAGCGCTGCTTATATACTTGGACCTCACCAAATAAACTGCACCGTAATCAGATCGACTATGTTCTATGCAGCCATCAATGGACCAGTTCAGTCCGCAATGTCAAGACATATCCAGGTGCCGATTGCAGTTCAGATCATGAATTGTTGGTGGCTAAGATCAGAGTCACCCTTATCCCTTAAGGACAGACCTTGGGAATGGAACTTGTTCTTAAACTGGGGACTGCCTGTATGATGGAATGAATGCCTTGAGGGGAAGGGGAAGACTGAGAAAGTTGTGGCTTCATGGAGTTAATAGATCTTCAAAAAGACAGAGGTCAGAATAGAAAGTAGTATACAAATCAGCGAATGAACCTGAGGGAAGTAAGGATGACTTCCATGGATAGAAAGATACTGAGATGTATAGGAAATGTTTTAATGTAAGCTAGTTTGGTTAGAGGACCAGTTTGGCATGGGGATTAAAGGTACTGGATTAGAAGCCAGGAGACCACAAGTTCTGTCTTAGGCACGAAAGGCAGCTGGGTGACACTGGGCTAGTCACTCTCTCTCAATCCTGAGAAGAAAGTATTGGCAAACTGCTTCTAAAATGTTGCAAAGAAAACTGCACGGATTTGCTTATATAGTCACCAGGAGTCAGGATTGATTCAATGGATCATAACAACAGTTTTAGTTATGTTTTTTCTTTGGCTTACAATTTCTTATTTTTCTGTGTTGTGTGTATCACTTACCCAAAAAGAGTAATGGGTAATATTGTAATAGTGCAATTTTGCATATATGCAGAAAAATATATGCTGGCCATCCTATTTCCCTTGAATAGAATTCCCCCTATTAAGGTGGCATCCATAATGATGCCACCAAGGAGCTATCCCAATGAGCATGTACCAGGCACCTGATAACATTATGTTCCAGGCAAAAAGTAGAGATTTCTAATGAGGTTAACATGACTTGAAGATACAGCACAGGATACTTGATTAGGGCTAGAATATATGTAGTTCCAACGCTATACTGCACTCAGGTAGAGCTTGAAATACCACCGCAGTCAGCACCACTTAGAAAAGCCAGATTACTCAGACCATTTAGGACTAGCAAACCTGCTCCCAAGTAACCATCTAGTCCCCACACACATAAGCACTCCTCCACCTCCCTGCTCTCCAGCATAGTGCTGTTCTTGTGGGCTGGGCAGCAATGACACTGCTTCAAGAGTCTGAGTCTTCAGAAATAGTCAGAAACACTGGCTTGACTGTCAGGTTCGGTCAGCACGAGGCTTCAGGGAAGCACGGGGCTGCAGGGAAGCTTGCAACC